CGGAGGTGTCGGGCCTGAGGCGGGCAGGGGCCTGGAACTCTGGAGTCATGGAATCGAGGAGCTTGGGAAAGACTTCTGAGAACATGAAGATCCACCCAGCAGTACCGTGACCACTAAACCAGGTAGCGAGGTGCCACACGTTCCCTGAACCCCTCAGGGATGGTGACTCCATCACCTCCTTGGGCAGCCTGTTCCAGTGCCTCACCACTCTGTCAGGAAAGAAATGCTTCCTAATATCCAGTCAACACCTACTCTGGCACAGCAAGGGGAGGTTTAACCCCATTTCCTCTCATCTCGTTACTTGGGAGACCATTCCCCACTTTACTAGAACCTCCTCTCAGGTAGTTGGAGTGCACAGTAAGGTCTCCCCTCGGCCTCCTCTGCTCCAGACTGAACAGCCCCAGGCCTTCCTGCTGCTCCTCACAAGAGATGATCCCCAGGCCCCTCCCCAGCGTTGTTGCCTTTCTCTGGACCTGCTCCAGTTCCTCTTGTCTTATTGCTAGTTACCTGGGAGAAGGATGTGGAAGAAGTTACTTGGGGTGCCATGCGGCAGGCTGGTGCTGGGGAGCACCTCTCCTGGGGCTTTTGCCTACATGTGGGGAGCTCTGCAGTTTGGAGCCATCCTAGGAAGGAGCTTGAGCTGTTAAGTGTTGGCTAGAGCTGAAACTTGTGGAAGAGCAGGTGAAGGGAGGTCACCTTGAGGCCATCCCTTAGATGAAAAGGCCCCGCTCCACTGGCTGCTTTCTACAGCTGCCCTGTATATGGAAACTCCATCTCACATCCGGGCTGGTAAACTCATACCTAGTAAGATTGAGGAGCAGCTAGAATTGTGCAATATCACTGTAAAGCCCAGAGGTCTGGGAGCACGTTACCAGCATCCCCCTCAGGGTCAAGGGTAGCGTGGAAGCACATGTGAATGCCAGTGTTACAGGGAAGATTAGTTGCTCTTGCTTGAAGAGCAAGAAGAAAAGTGAAGGTCATGTTAAGTTCGGCTTTAACTTGTTTTCAAGCAATAAAAAGTGGACAGTTGTAAGGAGGACTTGGAGCAGGGCCCTGGGACTGAAGTGGGCACGAAGCCCCCTCGTGGCGCCACGCAGCAGAAGAGAGTCGTCTTTTGAAACTGGAACTTTAGCAGAAGCATCCAATATGAGGCTTGTGATAATCATTTGTAGCAACATTCCAGTTACTTTTGCCCTATAATGTTTTAATTAATTCTGACCTTTAGCCTCGAATTTCATTACTCTGCTTTTGTTATATGAGTAGGGCTATAACAAACTCAAAACTCTGATTGGTTTCTAGGTGCTCTTCTAGTAGTACAGCTCTTGGGAAGACTGTGGATAATTCAGAAGGTATGCCTTAATTACTAGTTTCTTGCTTATGATTTTTTTATCGTCTAATGACATAGTGGGTCAGGAGATAAAGAAGACATGAGCGCACTCTT